GGTGGAAAGGAGGAGTGTGCTGTCACAGTATGGGGAGAGCAATTAGAGTCACATAACAATGTATGTATCAGTTTTTTTATGGGGGAAAAAAAAGACCAAAATAAGGAAAATTGACATGTTTTAAATGTCAAAGAGGCTTACAGTTTTAATTAAAGAATTGAACTGATAAAAAAAAAAAAAAGGAAAGGAAAGAAAACCCTATGGAACACAGTTCTACTCTGACACATATGAGGTCGCCATGAGTTGGGGTCACCGTGAGTGAGGGTTGATTCACTGGCAACTGGTTGGTTGGTTGATTAAGTTATGGTACACTTATGCTGTGGAATATTCTGAAGCAGTTAATTATATAGACTAATGATAAGGGAAAATATTCATGGTATATTATTATGTAAAAAAGCATATTAGAAAATCATTTGTAGGGTCAGATCTCATTTTTACAAGAAAAATATATTTATATATGTCTAGGGAAAGATGTCAATGGTATCTCTGTGTGGTAGAATTATGGATGATTTTAAGTTTGTGATTTTTTTGGTATTATTTAAAGTGAGTAGATGTTATCAGTTGGAATCAACTCAACAGAAACAGGTTTAGATATCACTTCTGTAATAAGGAAAATCATATATTTTTTAAGTCTCTTCTTTAACATATATACGTCTCAGTCCTAACATCAGCATCTTATTTAATGGCAAAATACTAGTAGCATTCTTAATAAGGTAGGCAATAAGATAAGGATGTTCATGATCTCTATCACCATTTAACTTCGTGCTGAAAGTATTAGCCAATGCAACCAATTAAAAAAAAAGAATCAAGGGCATAAGAACTTGAAGAGACAAAAAACTGTCTCATTGATTTTTAGATGAGATGATAGTATACTTGGAAAACCCAAGAGAATCAACTATAAAACTAACAGAAATAACAAAATAATTCTGCATAATAGCAGGATTTAAAATTAACATACAAAACCAATAATCTTCATATACACAAACAATAGCCAAGTAGAACATACAGTGAATGAGAAAGCATCATTTATAGCAACAGCGACCAAAATAAAATACTTAGAGTAAACTTAATTAGAAATGTGTAAGACATTTTTCAG